TTAGTCAGTTCCATTTACTGTTTACCTACATACCAGGGCTTATAGTTTACAGTGTGAATCTACTTGCGAAATTAGATTCGGGATGCTTGATGGGATATATACTGTATGCCTTCATTTCGCTAGAACTCACTTTAACTTAGTTTGCAGTATGAGAAATGACTCCACTCAAGCTTGATGTGTCTTTATGCGATGTGTCCTATTATTTCAGGACGCATTCACAGGTTTAGAACAGAGGTAATCGTTAATTTTTCTAGAAAAATGTCATATCACGACATCAGCCATATTAAGTATCGTTTCAGGTTAAGTAACGTTTTCTACATTAAGATAATAAATTTTTCATAAAATATGTTCATAAAGTTTTCTTAATTCTGGACAATAAAAAATGAATGTTCTTTACAATAAAATTAATTTTTTTGCGTTCTTTGTAACGTGAAATTATTTTTTTAAAAACTTGCTATTGAATTTTTTCATACATTTTTTTATCAGGATGACAATAATTAATCCGTAAAAAGTTTGTAGCAATGCTGCACCTGATCATTTTTACCGTCACCAATTTACATACTGTTGTTTAATTCTCCGTGATTTCCTGCCAATGTAGATGTGCTTTCGGTGTAATAAGGGTTAGTTCTTTATTTGTTTAAGTATATCGAACAAACGTTGTGCAATTTTGGAGCTATTCCGGCAAGGAAAGCGTCAATGTGAAATTGTTCGTTTGCTCGGTGTTCTCAAAATGACAGTCTCGGATGCAGTTCAGCGATTCAAGGAGCTTGGCCATGATGGAGATCCCGGACGTGAAAGAAAGCACACCATCAACACGTTTAGGAACTGAAAGATCATCAAAAAGCGAGTTGACCGAAATGCGAAGATCTCCATGAGAAAAATTGCTCGTAAGATCTGAATCAATCGCGAATCGGTGCGGTTAATGTCAAAAAAGGAACTCTGACTCAAGCCGTACAAGTTCTAAAAGATTCAGCTCCTCACCGATGAAAACAAGTGCATGTGACTCCAAAGATGCTGTCAACTCAAGCGTTGGGCCGCAGGTCGACAATGGGAGCGCATTTTCTTCACAGATAAGAAGCTTTTCTCCGTACAACAGGCGCACAACCATCAAAATGACAGAAACTGGTCCGCGGAGGCTCCCGGATGCTCAGCCGTCATTGAACATCGCCAAAATCCAATGTTTGGGCCGGAATTTGTGCAAGTGGCAAGACACCATTGTTTTCATCGATCAAGGGGTTCTAGAATCAATCAAGACGTGTACTGCCGTGACATTCTCGAGGCAGTGGTATTTCCGTAGACTCAGCAGCATTTTGGCAGTGCGAAATGGATGTTTCAGCAGGACTCAGCGCCGGCACACAGAGCGAAGAAGACTCAGGAGTGGTGCAAGGCTCATTTTGCTGATTTCATCTCGTCTGCGGAATGGCCATCGTACTCCCGGATCTGAACCCGATGGACTAAGTGTGGTCCATTTTGGAGGATAGGGCCTGTGCTAAGCACGACAAAAGTTTGGAGTCGCTGAAACAATCCTTGTGCCGGGAGTGGGACAAACTGTCTCCAGAAGAGCTGCGGCCCATCGCCGGGAATTTAGAAACGCGTTTGGGGCTTTGCATCAAGGCAAAAGGAGGCCACTTTGAAACTGGCTGAATATCTGATTAATACGTAAAGTATTGTCACTTATATCTGTTGTTGTTTTGCTAATTTTCATTTCTTTAATAAATTTACGATGCAGAAAACTTGTACGGGTTAATTATTGTCATCCTGTGATATGAAAACTTGAAAGATAGAATACTTTCAAGTTTTTAAAATTCATATCGATAATCGTTATTATTGATGTGCAATACATCTGAACATAAAATAACTAATATTTATTTATCGATATTTCAGTGGCGATATTTATTAATGTATCAGTCGAGGTTTAAAACCAACATACATATGCTTGGTATGCATCGAATATGGGACACCTTCATTTGGGCGACAAAATACAAAAATGTTATTTTTTTTCTTTATTAAAATCGCTATTCTAGTAAAGAAAAATTTTTATACCCCGTAAATTTAAATATTTTTTAAGAAACGAGGTAAACTAGTTAAAAGAACGATTTTGTAATTAACAAACATATGTTACGTACAGTACTTTATTTATTTTTATAAATAGAAAAGTCCCGAAGGACAGTTGATATCTGTTTCCTAAAATTAAAAATATACATAAAAATAAAAACAACAATTACATAAAATACATTATACATTAAGACAAAGTATAAATGTAATGTATTTTATGTATACATTAAGATAAATGTATACATTAAGACAAAGTATAAATGTAAAGTTCTTCGAAAGAATTTGTTTTCGAAGAACTGCTTTTCTTTATGCTCTGTTAACTGCTTCTCATACAATAATTAACGATGCTACATATGTTCCAAAACATTTTCTAAGTAGTAAATAACTTATAGTTCATAACTTATAACTCATACCTCCGACATCTTAACCATATTCATATTTATATACATCTTACACATATTTACAAAAAATAAATTCCTCCTCCATATTATATGCTTGCTATGCGTGCAAAATTTTTTAAGTTTCTGTCGTCCAAGTAACTCTTCTGGCTGTCATGTAACCTTCGAGTCCTTCCCATTGCTGTTGGAGGCTTCGATATTACCGAAAGTAAGTAAGACCAGATTTTCTGGTCGGATCTTCGGGAATTTCCATAGATGATCTAGTTCTGATACATCTGATAATTTCTAATCATCGATATCATTACAGTTTAGGTTGAATCCGTAATGATTGTGTTAATTTGTATTTACAAGGCAGGAAAATAAAAAGAAACACCTGTATGTTGAAGCTTTGTGAAAGAAACGAAATCAATTGAAAAATTGAATATATTATTTCGTTTTTGAGAATTTCAAGTACAAAAATAATATATGCATTGGTTTGGTTTACGATGGTTATATCGATTCCGATATCTGAGGTTTGAAAATTAGTAGTAATTATTGTTTTCACCAAAAATTATGGAAATTTCTATATTGCACTCCTGCTCCCAAGATCCTTTTACAGTATTGCATTCATAACAATGATATTCGTGGAATATAAATTGAACAAGGTATCAGGATTAAGACTGACACTTTTTAAATCTCTGCAAAAATTTAGTGCATAACAGTGGCGTGCAGTCCATGGACGGCACACCACTTGTATTTTCTAAAATATAAATACAAATTGTGCGATTATTTTCATATTTTAACGTACTTTTGAATTAATTAAAATTAATATTTTATTATAACCGTATTATGTATCTTATTACAAATTTCTATACATGTGAAAAACAATAATGAGATAGCTATTGTATATTCGAATATAAATTCGTATATGCATATTCCCAATAGAAGCGATGTATTGTCGAATACAGCATAGCTTCCACGCCGAAAATATTTGAATGGTGTAAAGTAGCCAGATTACAGGCGTCGCGCATGCGCTTTACAGAGCGCCATCCTCGCGGTTTAGCCGGTGGATGCTACACCAAAATATCGTATAACGCTTCTAATGATTCTATCCAGGGCTGGCACAGCTTCCCTATCATCAAATGTCACCGCATGCGACTGGTTCATAAGCGTAAACGCATTTAACGTGAATGCACTTATCCTTATGCACTGAATTTTGGCAGCGATTTAAAAGAGCAGATGTAAGTTTTCCTCTAGAATTAATTGAGAATGGCAGCGTATTTAAAGGCAATCGCCAATACAGTATGATTGTCAAAGTGGCAATGGCTCAGAAGAAAGCAAAAACTGTGTACTGGGTGCTGAGACACATTCAGTTGTGTACGTGCTGAAAAACTTTCGTTGTGTTTGAGGATGTTCCGTCGTGAAGGAACATGCCGATAAAAATTAAAATGGAATGCAGAATTGTAACTGTCATTCTTCATTTCCTATCATTAACGAATTGGAAGATTAGGTTACAAAACTGCAAAATATTTTAAATTTTGTCAGCCTTTTTTTATTGTCAGTAATGCGCAACCTTCAACGCCAGGGCTTTTACTACAAGTAAAATCTTTACGCGTGACCTCTGCAATAATTCTTCAATTTTATGTCATTTTTTGTAATGCCAATAACATAAAACCTTTCTCTTCCTAATTTGCGTCGCCTCTACCTCCTCGATCACGACACTTTTTTATGACTATTGTTAGAATGGTTGCAAAATTGGTTCAGGAACAATAGCAACAAGAGCATTTCATTTTATTAATATAATCTATAGAGACACAACCTGTAGAAATTAGATGTTATTGATCATCATCACTAAGAACGGAGTTGTTTTATCAAAGAGTAATTATAATAGTGCTGCATTCTTATTATGATTTTCTGTGGGAGCAATCAATTCTTTCATGTTTTAAGAAATTGCAGTTTTCCAACTCATCAACAGTAGCGAAACGACGATATCTTAGTCGACCTTGACAATTTTTAACAAGCCTTTCTTTCTCTTGTCAGTGGCAAATGCTTATATATTATTATATGTGATATAAATGCGCATACAGTAAATAACGTTTAAAAAATATATATATAATAAACGTTAGTACTATTTAATGAGTATCTCAGTTTTTGTATACTTGAAATACATTTTACTGAAAAATTCGTCTTTCACCTATGCGAATTCCATATACATCAGAAACGTAACAATGATTAAATCCTTAAATACACTTGACCAGTCTTACTTTCAACTAAAGAAAAAAGTGTTTTAATTATTATTTGTATTACATTGATAAGCAGTTAAACAGTTGTTTTTGGCTAATTATTATATATAGTAACATAAATTTTGAAATTATGTAACTTCAAAAACTATTTAGAACTACCTAATGATATAATTTTAATTGTTAATTCGTTATAATTTTTCATTTTACATAGAGTGCAACCAAAACCCGTATTAAAAAGTACACAAAGATGTTACATTTCGATATGTTCTAGCATCTCATCATTGTGACGTTGCCAGTCTAGATAGTCTCACAAAATGAAGAATACGAGCTGGGTCTATCTGAGTTAAAGTATTTTAATTTCAATATATTGTTTTAGATACACTAAAACAAACTTTTGAGAATGTTGTTATTGTGAAAATGGAATAAAATTTTTATATTTTTCTAAAGATTTTGTGGTCTTAATAATTTGCTAAATACTCCAAATAATTACACACCCTCTCCTCTTGGCTCCCTCTTGCCAGGAACCCGGGGACATGTCCATTCTGCCTCCTATTTGTGCTCCTGCTTTTAAATATCTTTAGTATATAGTAATTAGAAAATTATATACTACTAAACCAGAGATATCATCTAGTTTAAAAACTCCCATCTTCTGAATCTCTGTAGTATTGTTTTGTAGCAGTTTCGTGGAACTTCTCCCACCCTGTAGTAAATCACCCAAAACGTGTGAACCCTTGGTCAGGTGTCGGGGTGACATAACGTACACCCATTATGTAAACACATTGTCCATCTGGTGACCACTTGCTCTGCTGCCTTCGAACTGATCAGATGTGAAAATAAAGATCTTTTTGTTACCGTTAATCTTATATGTGTAAGTCATTTTATATTCTCCCAACAATCGGTTATGGGCCCAGGAAACCCAGGAAACTCAAAAAACGCAGAAAACGCTTAAGGAATAACTCACCCAAGTGATCTAAGTTTTTCGACTAAGGCTTCCGAAGAAGAAAGGTACTGAGACAACAAAAGAAAGATGGCCGAGAAAGCAAAAGGACTGAGCTCGATACCCAAGTTAAATGGATCGAACTACCTAATATGGAAATACGTAATAAAGAATGTGTTGGAAGGCCAAGATCTGATGCACGTACTCGAAAGACCCAAACCAGAAATTCCTGGAGAAACAGCCGCTCCGGAAGATAAGGCAGCCTATGACACATGGAGAAAGAAAAACAGCGAAGCTCTTAGAATCATCACATGCACAATGGAAGAACATGAGGTTAGTCTAATTTTGAATCTAAACGTTGCACGCGATGTTTGGGAAGACATAGAACGGAGATACGAAGGTCGATTAGACACGAAGCGAAAAATGTGTCAATCAAAGCTCTCGAAATTAAAAATGGAGAAAGACGAAAATTGGAAGGAATATATCAGAAGGGCTCGTGAACTAAATGAAGAAGCCAAAATGGTAAATTTAGGAATGGAAGAAACGGAATTGATAACTTTAATAACCGACGGACTGCCCCCTAAATACCATGATATCGCTCGAAAACTCGAAAGCATAAAGGACGCGACGATGAACGATCTAGAGTATGCCTTCCAAAAGGAAGAAGACAGAGCAAGCACCTCCCGATACAACGAACGCGAATCGGCTTTTCGTTCAAGATCCCAAAAGGGCAAATACGTAAAAGAGAAAGGATGTTTCACTTGTGGAAAATTCGGACACAAATCCTCAGCATGCTGGTATAATCCAGAAAACTCGCAGAAATATGAACAGAAGAACGACCGATATCGCAACCGCACGCATGACGTCGGAGCAAAAACTAGAAGAGAAAAATCAGAAACCAAAGTCAGATACGTCGATGCTAAGCCTCCGGAAAGAGCTTGGTTCACGCGAGACAAAGGAGCTAACAAAGAAGAAGAATGGGTTATCGACTCCGCTGCTACGTCACATATGACATCAAATAAAAACTGGATAAAAGATATGAACCCAGATACAAGAAGTATTCGAGTAGCCAGTAAAGACCACATATATGTCAATGGAAAAGGAACGGTGATGGAAGACAATATGCTCATAATATTAAAAGACTAAAGATTATATGTTCTAAAGCTGAATGGACATCTCTCGGTAAACAAATTGGTTGAGGATGACTACACAATCATTCTTGATAAAACAGGAGGGAAAATCATTTCCAAGAACAACAAACAAATAGCCAAAGCAACACGAAAAAAGTGGCTTTTTTATTCTAGAGACTGATGAACAAAATTCCGCTAATCAAGTCACCACTGATGAGCTCGAAAGGAACGAAAAATTTATATGGCATAAGAGACTGGGACACGTAAATGAAACATACCTCTACATAATGAAAAGTCAAAACTTGCTTAGAGGGCTCGACTACAAGGAAACAAAAATGGCTCAATGCGAAGTATACATACAGGCAAAACACACTAGAAGACCCTTCAAAGAAACTAAAAATAATAAGACGAAACACCCTCTATAACTACTCCACATAGATCTCGTGGGACCGATGCCTGTCGAATCACTAACCGGTGACAGATACATGATGACAATCGTGGATGATTATAGACGAAAAATATTTACAAATTTCCTAACTTCAAAGGATGAGACAGCCGATATGCTAGAACTCTTCATAAAAACGATGCAAAACAAAACAAACAACAAGATAAAGCGCATCAGAACGGACAACGGAACTGAATTCGTAAACCGAGATTTCATCCATATATGTAACGAACATGGGATACAACATCAACTAACGACAGTATACTCACCGCAAAGCAACGGGATCGCCGAAAGGGCCAACAGGATAATTCTCGAAAGAACAAGAGCTCTACTCATCGAAAGCCAACTACCGAAAATCTTTTGGGCTGAAGCTGCACGAACAGCGACATATTTGAAGAACTGCACACCCACAAAACTAGAGAAGAAAGCATCTCCCGAGGAACTATTCTCTGGAAATAAACCTTCAGCATCACATTTAAGAATATTTGGATGCCTAGCGTATGCGTGGATTCCAAAGGTAAAACGAAACAAACTTGAGCCGAAATCAAGACCAGTTATATTTATAGGATACTCGAGAATCAGAAGAGCCTACAGGGTATACGACTCAAAAACAAATAAGGTGGAGGAAACCAAGGACATTAAGTTCATGGAATATCGATTAGGAAGTGAATTGTTAGACAAGTCAGACGGGGAAACTAATAGAAAAAAAACAAACAAATTCCTGGATAGAAATGGATTTAGGCGATATGAACGAAAACAATGATCCCACACCCGTAAATGCGGAAAGAATAAGGAATGACGATAGACCCAATGACGAAATTGACACAAATAAAGAACCCAACCTTACCCAAAGCGAGGACACCCAAATTCAAATACCTAGAAGATCACAAAGAATCAGGGAGCAAATCCAACAAGGGATCAGACCCAACTACGACGAAAATTTTTCCGATACAGAAGAGTGGGATGATACAGATGCGGTAAACGGGATACAAGATTTTACACCAACTACCTTTAAAGAAGCAATCACTTGTCGAGAACATAAATCGTGGTGGAAAGCTATGAAAGACAAATATCAATCACTGATGGGACACAGAGTATGGGACCTAGTAGACCGAGAACCAAACGCTAACGTTATAAAATCAAAATGGGTATACAAAAACAAAAATAATCCGGACGGATCTGTAAATATGAAAAAGGCCCGACTAGTAGCCCTGGGATGGTCCCAAAAGTACGGAATTAATTACAAGGAAACATTTTCACCTGTGATGGAAATTGGAAACGCTAAGAATCTTATTAGTAATGGCAACAAAAAAATTGGGAAATAAGCCAATACGACGTTAAAACAGCCTACCTACACATCAATTTGGACGAATGTATATATATGGAACAACCGATGGGATTCATTAAAGGAGACGAATCGAAAATATGCAAACTAAATCGCTCTATCTATGGCTTAAAACAGGCTGGAAGAGCATGGTTTAAGACGATTACCGATCACCTGCGTCAAAACGGTTTCGAAGAATTAAAAGCTGATGCGCATTTAAATACCAACAAGACGAAGACATTCTATACTTAGGATTACACGTTGACGATATGACAATAGTATCTTCGAATGAGCAAATCGAACACGAAGCTATGGCAAAAATCGCGGAATATTTCGACTTGGCTATACTAGGAGTCCCTAAATGCATTTTAGGAATCGAAATAACGAAATTCAAAGACGGGATGAAACTGACGCAACAGAGACAAGTAAAAGAGAGATACTCCAAAAATTTAAAATGGAGGATTGTAAACCAGTAAACACGCCAATGGATCCTAACCAAAAATTAGACGACAGCGAAGGATCGCCATGCGGAAATAAGAAACTTTTCCAAGAAATTTATGGAAGTGTGATGTATATCAGTTTAACAACGAGACCCGATTTGTGTCAGCCGATCAGCGAACTGTCACAGTACACACAAAATCCGAAGGAAATGCATATCCAAGCAGCGAAACGACTGATACGATACTTAAAAGGAACCCAAAGTAAGGGAATCATATACAAACGCGACCAAGACAACAACTTAATCGGATACGCAGATGCTAATTGGAAAGATGGGAATGTAGGTCAACGTTCGAATAATGGATACCTTTTTCAACTAGGACAGAATCTCGTATCGTGGAAATGCAAGAAGCAGAACCAAACGGCGTTATCGACATGCGAAAGTGAATTGACAGCATTAACCGAGGCTACGAAAGAATCGACATGGTTAAAAATGATCCTAAATGAATTAGGAGAGAGAAGTTCTAACAAAACAACTACGATTTATAGCGATAATCAAGCTGCGATAAGTCTAATCAACAACGGAAATCTTAACTACAAAACGAAACACATAGTAAGAAAAATATCATATGTACACGAAAACGTTAAATCAGGTAATGTTGTTGTTAAATACATCCCGATGGAAGAAATGTCGGCGGATTTTTTGACAAAACCATTAAACGCGCTTAAATTAAAAATCTGTTTAGACAGAATCAATGTGAAATGAATATTGTATTAAATGAAATTAAATGTAAACCACGAAACTTGCCCAAAAAGGGGGGATTTGTAGTGTTGTTTTGTAGCAGTTTCGTGGAACTTCTCCCACCCTGTAGTAAATCACCCAAAACGTGTGAACCCTTGGTCAGGTATCAGAGGGGTGACATAACGTACACCCATTATGTAAACACATTGTCCATCTGGTGACCACTTGCTCTGCTGCCTTCGAACTGATCAGATGTGAAAATAAAGCTCTTTTTGTTACTGTTAATCTTATATCTGTAAGTCATTTATAGTCTCCCAACGATCTCCAAATCACGTTAAAAAATTTATCGCAGATTTTTAATAATAATATTTGAATGTTCAAATTATTCTAGTATATTTCTATAAAGCATTAGTTCATTTCCTGTTGGAAGATGAAGTTTCATAAAAATGTTTGCAGCTTTTTAAAGAGAATGCCAGTAAGCACTTCTGAGTGAGAGATCTTCAATTCTTTGATCCATTTTCTCGAAAATAATATTTTCGAAAAAGTGATCATATTTTAAACAGTCTTACTAGAAGTTATAAAAATATGGAAATCAAGTCACATAGTCTTACAAGTTAGATTGCTATATAAAATAGTTATCGTTAGGCCGTCGATGAAATCATCCCTGAAAAAACTGCCGAAGTCAGCTTCGTTATTTATAAAATGTTTTCATCAGATTATTATTCAGATAGACTATATATTGTTTTACATCTACGACTTGTTTCAGACGTTTTTTTCATCCGCTTCGAAGCGTTCGTATGGGGGTAGAGGTCGTTTATGAACGGCAATCAACTGGTTACAAGGGTCATCGCCCGATTACAGGAAGGACAATGGAGCCATAACCTAGAATATGTAGTAATAAAAGTTATTGTTTCTTTGGTACGAAAATCGGAACCATCCATTTTTTTTATTGCACTATGTTTAAAAAGACTGATCAAAATTCTAGCAATTTTATTACGTTATAATACATTGGTTTTTTTTATTGATTTTTACTGACTAGATTTTTAGACATTTGTTTTCAAATATTATACATTACACTTTGAGAATGTTGAAATTCCGCTAAATTTTATCACTACGCCACTGATTATACTATAGTCCTTATTAATTATAATTGTTTTTGGTGGACCAGGCATTTTGCCTTTATAATTTGTTTATTGATATAAATTGTTTATTATTTGAATTGAAATAACGAAATCATATTATTGTGAATTGTTTCAGATTTAATATACAGTTTGTCGGTCAGATGATCCAGTAATATGGTATGATGTTAGACTATCACTGAGGGGATCGGGCCATATGTTGCACCTTTCTCCAAGGCTGGCCGAATTGCGGTGAAAGCTAAGGCGCTAGCGCATTAGTGGAAGCCAGCCTGTAATGTAATTATGGCCGACTATGATTTTAATGTTGTGTTGCCTCGTTAATTTATTAATGTATCTGTATAATGCCCGCTGTTATAGAACTCCCTTCTTGAAAAATGCTATTGTAGAGTTTACTTTTTAATTGAAATTACAGAAAAAATCGAAATATTTTTATTATAAAATATTACAACTTAAAGAAAGGGTGCATGGCTTACAGCGTGTAGGCCGTATGCTGTTTGTTGCCTAATTCTGTTAAAAAATATTTTTGCTAATAGGACTTTCTACATATAAAAATACATTTGTATTATTTTAGCTTAAACTCAAATGCTAGACTTAACGTAATTTTATATCGTTGAATTTGCGCACAAATATGTAAATTTTAACTACAGTACTACGAACCACTCAAAAACACTTTAATTCAGTCTGCAGCAACGCTTAAGCTATGCACCCCTGGTTTAAAGAATTATTTGTCATTAATTTCTCACAGCAGAAATGTAACATGGTTTTTATCTCGCTAGAACATGTTGCATTTCTGCTGTGTAATATCTTAAACATTCGTTAACATGATTTTAAAAATATAGTAAAATCTGAAAATATATACTGTACATGTATATTTGTTTTCTGGTTGCACGCTATTGGAAAATCTGAGTTACATTTATGTTATATAATTTTATCTTAACTACATTCTTGATGTTACGCAA